TCAGCATCAAACACCAAAGGTGGGGGTGCACTGGAGTAAGCAGTAATGTGCACGCAGCCTACAAGTCAGGAAGCCCCAGAATCTCTCCTCTACAGTGTGCTCACTCAGTGCCCTTAAGCCAGCCCATTTCACCCTCCGTTCTCAAGTTTCATTATGGGGGATAGTAATACTAACTTGGAATGCAATTAGATAATATATGTGAAGCCCTTTTGATACTGGAAAGCTCTATGCAAATACTAAGCATTACTACTATGCTTTTTACTATCCAACCGATCTCAGCCACAGGAGAACGATTCCCCTAAATGACGCAGCAGCTCTGGGAGATGCTCTCATGGAAAACTGGCTTGCAGGCTGCTGCTCTAACATGTAAAGAAGGGAAGGGATTGCTTAGTGTGCAGGTGGACACTATGATTTGTGCCCATGATGCTAACAGTCATGTACCTGCCAGAGGTTCATTTGGGGGGGGCACTGCTTCATTCCCAATTTCCTGATGAAATCCCATAACTTTTCATACCACAGATATTCTGGGGGAGTCCCCCCCCCAATTTGTTGTGCTATAGCCCCTCGAGACAGCAATACTGTAGTAGCACTGGGGAAGCATTGCAGAACAATTAATAAAGCAGAATAAATCCACCACTAATGCCCTACTGAGGTAAAAGCCTCAGCGCCTAGGGCTTGCCAATCGAAAGGTTGGCGGTTCAAATCCCCGCGGCGGGGTGCGCTCCCGTTGTTCGGTCCCAGCGCCTGCCAACCTAGAAGTTCGAAAGCACCCCCGGGTGCAAGTAGATAAATAGGGACCGCTTACTAGCGGGAAGGTAAACGGCGTTTCTGTGTGCGGCTCTGGCTCGCCAGAGCAGCGATGTCACGCTGGCCACGTGACCCGGAAGTGTCTCTGGACAGCGCTGGCCCCCGGCCTCTTGAGTGAGATGGGCGCACAACCCTAGAGTCTGTCAAGACTGGCCCGTACGGGCAGGGGTACCTTTACCTTTACCTTTAATGCCCTACTATTGCGTCAAGAACATGTTACGGAATACACATGCAGTAACACACCCATCTGGAGGGACCCTAAATCTGTATAAACTTCCTTTTCTTTTTTTAAATAATAAATCAGGATATATTTTTTAAATACAACATACCAAACATCCTCTGCCTCTTCTCTGGACAAAGAGTTTAACTATGTTGGACCTTTACTCAGCAGTATTAAATTAGCTCACTCACCACATAATGACAGTGAGAGCATAATAACACCTCCATCCCTGACAAATCTATAAATTCGTCTCTTTGTGAATAGCATAAAGGACAATTGCTCACCAAGCCACCTCCACCACTACAATTATCCTATTGTGAATGGCAAAGTATAAAGAAGCTAACACAGAAAGTACAAATGAGACCACATTCCTCTCATTTCTTAGGTTCCTCCAAGCTTTAGTCCTTATTTCTCACTTTCACTAGCGTCCGGTTTGCATCCAGACCCTATTCAAATACAGTAGCTGGTTTCAACCTATAAAACCTTACATGGCTTGGGCGTTGGAAGAGCAGCAGCAAGGATCATTCAGTTAGTAGGTGTTTGTTGCCTAGCAGCCAGAGTGGCATGATCCTTGCAAAGTGGTCTGATCTCCTAGATTGTTCTGAAGTCTCCCCCTGTGCCTGTTGTTGAATATCTCCCTGATCTCAACTAAACCTATCAATAAGACAGAACCCCTATGTTTATTTCTCCTCTTGCTATTTACCATTTTTGCTCAGTTAATCCAGAAAAGTATAGTTTCTTTTCTCTCTGGACTCCATGTGCATTATGTAAAGTGACTCTGATAATACTTTGGACCTCAGTGTGTGAAGAAATGCCTCTATGTACCTATGAGCTACAGGGGTCCTTCTCCAAGTGCCCCTCAACCTGAGGATGGCTTCAAAAGAGAAGGCCTTCTCTGTAGTTGTCCCATGCAGGTGGAATACTGACCCTGGAGAGTCCTCTCCAGCTTCTACAAGGCCTCTCTGAGGCCTTTTAACATTCCATTTTTACATTGTTTTTTGAAGGCTATTGAGGGCACTTCCAGACTATCGCTGTTTCTAGGTGGGATTCAGTCACATGCCAGCAGATTCAGGTTGTGCAATTGCAACAGTTTGGAAGATCATGCACAACAAACCAGCTTCCCCACAAAATCAGGTAAGAAAAGTGATGGGAAAATGCACTGGGAAATGTGGAATAATACTTGCTTTCTTGCAATGTCACCTAACCTCACTGCAAAAAAATCAGGAAACAGGTCGTCTCAAAGCACCCTTAGTATCCTGTATTGCAGGGGTTGGACCAGATGATCCTTTGGATCCCTTCCAGCTCTTCAATTCCATAATTCTTTAAGATTGTTTACATTCTCCTGGCCTCTGTTTTAATGGCAGTTGAACGGTTTTTAGCCCCTTCTAGTTATTTTTATATGATTATGTTGTTTTTCTATGATATGCTATTTCATTCTCTGTTTGCTGTGGGACTTTTTAGACCAAGTTGTGTATATTAATCTACGCTGTGGTGTGCTCCTTTTAGAAACTTAATGGTTGCACGTTACATAGAGAATTTAGGTTATGAGGTGACTCACACGTGCAAACAAATAATCAAGCAATCTCTGGATGAAACAGATTGTTCATCTCACTTCCTGTATAGAAAGAAAATTCCAGAGCAACTTTGGTTTCCATGGGAAGAGAGGGAAGCAGGGACTCGTGCTTTAAAACAATAATCGGTTTATATACAGAAATAGAAACAGCAGGCAGGAAACTAGCAAGCAGAGAGGACAGCCATAAAATGAGAATGCTGCATCAGTGGCCAAAAGCAGCAACATGGGGTGTAGATAACAGTCTGGGGTAAGCCAGGTGACTAGAAATGAGAGCCATTGGATCAGCCAGAAGTCAGGACTGAAGAGTGTCAGGATTCGGGGCCAAAGGGCAAATCAGGAGATGGGGTTGTGCAGCAAGCCGGAAGTCAGGTTCAAAGGATAACTAAGAATACAGAAGATGCCAGAGCTCAGGCAGACCACCAAACAAGGCTCAACTGGAACAAGAAGCCCTTCTATACTTCTTCCAATGACCAGTCTGGGTGGGGGAGTCAGTCCAGGGCCTAAAGGCACTTAAGTGATAAGAAAGGATGGGGAAGAATTTTAATTCAGGCCACATTTAAAGATGAATCACCCTAATTCACTTTCTGAAATAATATGAGAACCAAAACAAAGTCATCCTTTGAAATTAGATTTTCTAAATGTTGATAATACAGTTCTCCAGCCAAGTAACGTGTACAAAATGGTATATACTTGGGTAAAGTGTCATGTATGAGTGAAAATAACATTTTAAAAATGCATTATTTTAGGGGAAATTATACTGTACAAAAGCGTGTGTTCAACAAGCTCAACAACTTTTCCCCAAAAAAGCTCAACTTTCACTTTTTGAAATATGGCAAATCTAGTTAGACCAAATTGCATTCACATGTGTATTCCACACTCAAATACTAATGAATTTGCATAAGGACTTTTTAAAAAATTAATTGCAACCTGATGTGGAAATGTGGAGAACTGAAGACTGGAGGAAAAAGCGAATATGAAAATGACAGATTTCCACATCACTACTGAGAAACTACTTCTGGCAATTCAGTGATGCACCACATGGGGCAGCTGCACACAGATCCGGCTGCTCCTAACACCTTTCTCACCCATTTCCTACTGCATTTCATTAACAAGCTCTGCCTTACCAAATTCAGACAGCACAAACTGCTTGTTTCTGCTCTCACCATGCAGGTTAAGTATGTAGGTTCAACTCCACCATCAACTAGCAAGTTATGCAAACAACAACAAAATGGTCTCTTTTCCCTTAGCACAATAGGATGGCAAGGCCCACAACCGTATTATAGTGACACTGAGCAGCAGGGCTGTATTGAAATGCCCATGCATATGTGTACTGAAGTATATTTATGGTTGCAGGTCATTCCTGCAGCAAACTCTCAGTTAGGGAGGTGTGAAAAGCTGGGGCCAAAGCAGCCTTATACCATGCAACAGCCCCAGAATCTCTTTTTAGTATAAGAGAACTGAATTCTGGAACATGTGAAGCAATGCTGAATAACTGTCAAGAAAGCACAGCCTGGGCTTGTAGTATTAGGATCAAGCACTGGGGTTTAAGATCCTGCAGTTCTTTTGAGTTCACATCCTTATTCAGTCATTGCATGATGAAAACTGAAGGACACCTGTAGATAAAATTTTCAAGAGACTAGTATAGTTACTGTTATGTACTGAAGTTCTCACCCTGGGCCAGCAGGGTGATACTGTAGATAGTTTTCACTCAGGTCCACATATGCAAATAAGGAATTGAAAGTGACGTTCAGTGATTGGATAGTTACATAAAGTTTTTACTGTTGTGTTGTAGTGGAGCTCTATATAAGCAGGCTGGCTGAACCCTTCAGTTCAGTTCTGTTCTGGGTCTGTGAATAAACAAGAGCTGTTTGAAGAATCACTGTGTCGTCTGATATGTTCACCCACAACTTAACAGTTACTTTTGCAATGACATTCAGACTTTGTTGCGCAAAGCAAGCATATAAACTGGGATCCCAAGAACAGAACGAGTTCCACTCTCCCAACATTAGCTGTTCCTATTCTGGGTTGTAGCATAGCTGCATAGCTTCAACTAGTTGTTCCCTTCTTTTGATTGCTTTTGGTTTTTTATTGTGATTTTGCGTGTTTATCCTCTCTTGAGAATCTCTCTCTCTCTCTCTCTCTCTCTCTCTCTCTCTCTCTCTTTCTCTGTGGTAATCTAATTCAAGAAAGGCCAAAGATCTCATTCTCTACCTAATTTCGCTTTCAAGCTGTTACATTTTTTTTAAGTGGTTTGTAAATGAGGCAGGCTAGGAGGATAATTCATATCCATTCAATTCAGAACCATTAATTAGAAAGTATATTACACTGATTTTCATTTCAACACCATCAGAATAAGGCACAAAACACTGAACAAAGTAGTCAAATACATTTCTTAACACATTGTGTCCCAATTACCGGTATATACCTTTATTCCCAAATGTACAATATTTACAATTTAGAAAAGTATGTAAATATATTAAGTATACACATTTAATCATATTTTCTCTTCAGCTTTGCAAACCAGAGCACTAACATTCTAGCTTAACGCTACCAGTATAATAGCCAACATTTTAAAATAGAAATTTACATAAAATATATTTCCCCTTGCAACAGGCACATCAGCAGTATTGCAATCAAGTTGATAAATGTTGATTTCTGCACTTGAATTGTTGTTCTTTGCTACATAATGTTGTTGAAAATATAACCTTTTCTCCTAGTTGATTTTAAGCAACAATGGATTATGAGAGCAGAATATACTGGAAACATTTCTTGTGCGAATTGTGCAACTCCTGTTCCCTGCAGAATTGGAGTTATGCAGCTTAGTGTCACCATCTGAACCAGTTGTGACTAACAAGGAAAGCGACTAACGTTGTAATTCATAGCTCAATAAATACATTGAGCCAATATGCAGCAGGTGTGAAGAAAAGGTGAACTGAATTCTACGCTAGGAATCGTTAGGAAAGGGATTCAGTGGTGGACCTTGGGGTCACAAATTTCAGCGGCACCCTGTGCAACGCCAAAATTTGCCCCCTGCCTCTCATGCTCCATTCTAAATAATAGTTGTGGTGCCCTCTAGGCTCTGCACCCAGTGCGACTGAACCAGTCACGCTCCTCTAAACCTGCCTCTGAGGGACTGAAAATAAAACTGCCATTATCTCAATACCTTTATAAAGATCTATGGTTCAACTGTACTTAGAATTCAATGTACAGTTTTGGCCACCGCATCTCAAAAAAGATATTGTAGAATGGAAAAAAAGGATACAGAAAAAGACAACCAAAATTATCAGGGGTCTGGAACTACTCCTTTATGAGGGCTGTGTACACACCGTACATTTAAAGAACATATAAAGTGCATGGCTTCCCCCAAGGAATCCTGGAAACTGTAGTTTGTTAAGGGTGCTAGGAACTGAAGCTCTGTAAGGGGTAAAAACTTCAGTTCCCAGGGATCTTTGGGGAAAGTCTTTTGCTTTAAATGTATGATGTGTATGCAGCTGAGGAAAGGTTCCAGCATCTGGTGCTTTTAGTTTAGGAAGAAAAGGTGAATGAGGCCATGACAGAGGTGCGTTAAAAGTATGAACAGTATAGAGAAAGTGGAGTTTTTCTCCTTCTCTCATAATATTAGAACCTCGTGTCATCCAGTGATGCTGAATGTTGGAAGATTTGAGACAGACCAAAGAAAGTACTTCCCATAGCACATAGTTAAACTCTGGGATTCATTGCCGCAAGATGCAGCAATGAGCATCAACTTAAGGCTGCTTTTTAAAGAATTAGACAGGTTCATGAATGACAAGGCTATCAATGGTTACTGGTTATAATGGCTGTATATTATCTCCAGTATCAGACATAGCATGGCTCTGAATACCAGGCACAACACAAGAGGTGGCAATTGCACTCTTCTTGTTTGCAAACTTCCCAGAAGTACCTGGCTGGACCCTGCTTGTGCTAGATGGGCCTTTGGTTTGATGCAGCAGGGCTGCTCTTATTTTCTTATGCTGTATCTGCTTGCATTACTAAATATTTAGGTGTATACAGCACAAAAATGACATCCTTGCATAGAATTTATACTGTGCAATAAAGACACTGCAGTATACAGAAATGGAGAAAAGATCACGAACAGACCAAGAAAAGCAGTAAATGAGGTGGTGAAGAGCAAGACAACAGAGGTGGAAAGTCCATAGCTAAGTGGTACAGTATATGCTTTGCATGTGTAAGGTTTTGGGTTCAATCCCCAGCATCTCTTCTGTTAAAAGTGCTCTCAAAAGAGGGCTGAGAAAAACCCTAGAAAACCACTGATGGAGCAGACAACACTGGGCAACATGGACCAGCTTATGTTTTTTGAAATTGTTTGGTAAAACTAGTTTTGAGGAAGGCTTTAGGAGACAGGAAGTAGGCTTGTCAAACAAGGAAGTCATTGGCCTGGTTAACACATAACACTCGGCCATAATTAGTTTAAGCCATGGTTTGTTGCACAAACTGCAGGTTTACAATGGCTTGTCCCACACATGATCAAAGAAACTGTGGTTTGTTTCACCAATGTTGCTCTTGCCTTGTGCCTTTGTAGTTTGACTAGTGTTTGGGGGTGTATGGTGGTCAAACAAACCATAGTTAAGGCTGCTGTGTAATGGCAAGCCATAGTTAAAACAAAGTAAGATTTATAAGCCAACAATAAAGCATGGCTTAAGATTGTAGTTTGTTGGTAGTAGAAACACCAGTTAAGCCGCTGGCCAGGATTAACACATGCTAAGCCATGTTTTAATAAACTCTAGCTTAATAAACCATGGTGTAGCATTAGGTGTGAATCAAGACATTGTTTTATACTGCTGACAGGTGATAGCATGACAGAAGTCACAGAAACAGGAGCACAAGAAGGACAGGAGCTTGATCACAGAGGAGCTATTACAGAATAGATGGAGCAAGCAAGGAAATTTGATGGGTAAGATATTGTCAGTGACAGAGTTATGGGCAAGTGAAAAAGAAATAACAGGAACGAATCACGAATCAAATAACAGGCAAAGGACTTCAGGTGGGACTGGACATGATCCAAATTGATGGAACAGAAACATACATTTATTTAGCAGAGGTGCTTCGAACTGATTCAATGGGTCAGCTACACCAGGAGGGTAAGCCAGCAAGGAGTTGTGTTTAGATCAGAAACAAAAGCATGTAATGAAGTGTCATATTGACACTTGGGAAAGCTATAAGTCACATGCTCCTGAAAAGTAACAGCAGCCTGAGGAATTTCACAAGTTGCCTCAGAAGCACAGTAGTTAATGGCAATCAACTGTATCGCTGCAGCTACAGAAAGAGTAGAATGTGCAGCCAACTGCATAATGTGCATATTTGTTAAACAATTTCTAAATATTAATTTTCACACTCTAAATTATAGCAGGCATACAGCAGTTATAAATACATGCTAAGTCTGTTTTTACAGGAAAACCCCACAAATGTGGTCTCTTAAACAGTAATTGCCGGTTAACAAGTACAGTTCAACACAATCTTCGTAAACATTTTTTTAAAAGGTTAGTGTGTTTAAATAACACACACCATTTCTTTTGAAGCTGACATGAAAGAGCCTCATTTTTAGCAATCTTACTTATGCACAATTGACTAAAATGATAAGAAAACCCTTCTACTCAGGTATTAGAGATTGTACTTGAAGCTAGAATCTGCATCTGCTAAAAGGATATCACTCCTCACATTTGATGCAGATCTTACACAATACTCAGGTCAATTGCTAAGTAATGCCTAGACATGCATTCAGATCCAGCAATATTTTATGATTTAAGTCCTGTCTGTGTGCAAAACCAGGCAGAGTAGTTTGGTTTTAAAGTGCTGGCAGAAAAAGCATACTTTCGAATTATAATATACTTTTTAGAAATTGATTCCAAAATAAAAAGTGTTAAAATTCTACAGAACTGAATACATGTTGTGAATGACACCCACTTCCTTCCTTCCTAGTTCTCCTCTTACTCACTTTCTTCTGCTTTCAGTTAAGGCATTCCTGCAAGCCTCAAGTTTTATCACTTGGAAAGAGACAAAACTTATTTCTAATCCACATCAAAACTAAGTCATGAATTGTCGCTCATGCCATTCACCCAACCTGCCCACATTTCTTTGTACAGAGCATGACATTTAAAATTTTAATTCCTTGGGCTTTACTCCTGAAATTTGTACTGTCAGATGTGGCCTCCAAACAAGTCCCAATTTTGATTCGCAGAGTGGAAAATTCCACCTGTGTGATTGGTCATTGCCTAGTACAAAGCCATTGTATTCTTTAAGCGATAGACTGAAGTGTATTAAATGTGCCTTTATCTGATGGTTTTGAATGAAGGATGCAATTGTTAACTATGAATTGGATTTCAAGTGAGCAGTTGGTAAGGTAAGGTCTTATCTGAAAGCAGGATTCAAACTATACAGAACTCTAAATAAAGGCTCTTTAGGAAGCATTCTTCACAAAGATTCAATATGCATAAAACAATGAGCACTGTATGAAGATTCAAGACTTCATTTCCATATAGCCTACAAACAAAACTTCAGCCATCTTTTCTTAAAATGAAAACAAAAAAGATCATTGTATAATTTTTAAGCTATTAAAATAATACGTTCCCCACCGAGCCAAAATAGTTAGCTTCCACTGGTAATGATTTATTTCAAAAGACATGAGTTGCACTGATAGCAGATCCAGATGCCCAGACACGTTAAAAGGTATTAGAAAGGATACTTTCTGAAAACTAGAAGTATTCAGCCATATGCTTTGCAAGGGTGCAACATAACTAAAAGTAGCAATTGCTTCTGAGGTATTTTAAAAAGGACAACATTTCCATAGGCTTGAGAAGCTCTGAGGCACATATACAATTGGTACTATGGCAGCAGAAGCAGTCAGCAAGAGATTTGAATCCCTGTAGTGCAGTATAAATGCGCTCAAGCAGCAATTAGTCTAGTGCATAAACAATCTCACAGTCAGAATAAGAAGAAAGCTAGTTTTCATATTTTAAATAGGGCGCTGCAGGAAGCTGAGTAGGAGAGCCAATCAAACTGACATTTTATTTTAAATGGCTACACTGCTTTGTGAAACAAATGTTCCCTACAGGAATAAATGCAAAGGATTTATCATGCTGGTTTGGAAGTGAGTCTTAGTGAAATATGCATGATTTCCTAAGACAGTTTTCTAATATGTGCCCCTTTTGTTCAGCTACTATGCATTTCAAAAAATCTTGTACCAGAATAGTACCTAGCAGACTTTCCCATGGAAACAATCAGTGCTGGGGGCACACCTAGACCAAGCCCCTCCTCACCTGCCATACAGTATTTGCATTCATGGCTATCTTGCAACTTAGCCTTCAAAGGAAAAGTGCTGTCCACCATTCTAGCGCATTTTTCTAATATTGTTCAGTGTAAGTGCTCTCAGTTCACAGAGAAATTTGCCATGAATTTCAATGGCAATGATATTTGACCACTTGAGTTTATGGCTTTGATTAACAAGCAGCATATTTCACTCTCATCCACCTTGGCACAAGGATGCCCTTTCCGCCCAGGATGTCTTACAATCCTTGTTCTACTAAAATAAATAATTTTGCATTGCTTTACCCCAGCTGTCCCCCCACCTGGGACCCTCCAGGTGTTCTGGACTATAATTCACATCAGCCCCATCCAGCAGGTCTTTACCAGCTGGGGATGATAGAAATTGGTAGTCCCAAAATGTCTAGATAGTTGGGGGCAGCTGTTTTAATTAAAGCAGGCTATTAGAATTTTCACATGAATTCTTCATTAAAAGAGCCACTATAAGACTTCTGAAGACAAGACAGGGAGAGTTTCTGCACAATGGTATTGCTAGGGATTTAATATTTTTTTAAATCCCTAGTGGTCCACAGAACATGTACGGTTCATAAAGACAAGTCCATTATTCGTTATCTCTGTAGTAACCTTCAATTATATCTGAATTAAAATATATCACAGTAACCGTGATGTCATCCCTATACAGCCGTGCTACATCATCAGGAAGCGTCAGCATTGCCATGAGCCTCTCTGGATCAATCTCTCCATATTCATTATTGCCAATGGCATTTCGGATGAGGTGGGTAGCCACGTTGTGGTCATAGGAGCGGATGTGCCTGCCCTTCCTCTGAAGAAGGAAGTTTTGCATGTAACCTAGGTTGGCTGGTTTCTTAAAAGCAAGTGGCGTTTTCTGGGCACTGTCTCCAAGCAGATGCGTGGCAACCAGCTTGACCACCTCTTCATTACTCAACATGTCCCACAGCCCATCCGAAGCAATCACTAAAAACTTATCCTGCTTTCTTATTTTGTGGTACGTGACTTCAGGTTCTGCAGTTAAATAAGGAGGTGTATGATAGTTTGGCGGTGCATACTCATAAATGTTTAAAGCCTCCGTGTTGCAACCATTTCCTAGCACACTCTGTTGAAGTTCCTGGCTCCACTTAAATCTGACATCTCCAAAAGCTCTGGAGGGCATAAGAACTCCCAGCAACCTGTTGTTCACAATGACAGTATCCTCTTCAGAGGCCGGGTGTTCACTTTTTAACCTTAAAGCTTCCAGTTTGTTGAAGGCATTGTGGTCTTGAGTAAGAGGGAGGGCGGACCACATCCCATCTTTATTTTGAACCCCTAGAATTGCTCTACAGTCACCAGTATTTGCAACATGCAAATTAACACTGTCGATGTGAGCCACACATGCTGTTGCGCCCGAGAAAGCCACCTGAAGAGCTATGTTCCTTACCAATTCGTTTTCTGTGGGAGCCTGGACTTCCAAAGAGAAATCAGAATCCAGCCTTTTAAATGCATAGATCAGTGCATCCTTCTTAGTATGGCATGGCTCCATGTCCAGGTTCAGCAAGTCTTGCCAATAAACTCTGAGCTGCTCCAAATACATTGGGGCGACCTCATGAAAGAACCTGTCGTTGGGGTGCTTGTGCCACTGCAGAATGGGCAGAACTGGTTTCATGGACTCCATGGCAGACTCAATTTCTTGCAGCGTTTGTTGAGACAGAAGAGAAACAGCAATGTAAAAAAACAGCCTCTCGCTGACCGACTGTGCACAAGCATAGCCTGCATGGCCATCAAAGACTCCAAACATCATCCCTCTGGTCTGCAAACATGTAGCTGCACTTCTACGGTCTTCACTTGGGGCGTTGGCAGCCAAGTGGTTACTCTCAAATTTCAACACTGAGCTCGGGTTCTTCCCATCAAATTCAGGTACTGTATAGGACAACTCATTAGCCCTTAAGATTTCATTTATCTGTGATGGTGTCAGGTGGAAGGAGAAGTCTTCTTCTTCTGTGGAGGTGTGTCTGAAAGCTTTTCTCACAGTGAAGATGCTGTCCATGCCGCAACTGCAACTTGACAGGAAAGAAGAAAAGGAGTCTTTGGCAAGCAAACCCCTCCATGCTACTTTGTTCTGGCTCGAAAAGCACCTGGAATACAAACGTCCTTTTCCATGCAAAGTGGAGATAATGTTTCTTGCCGAGATGATACTCCAGGAGGTCATAGTACTTGACATCTTAAGAACTGGTTCTGCTTTAAAGCAGGACAATTTGAAAAGCCTACAAGTAAAAATAAAGCTATTATTATTATTTTTTTAAAAGGCAACAATGCTTAATGTTAACATCCATGCTGTGACTTATACCAAGAGACCACTGAGAATAAATAAATAAATAATTTGTTTTGTAACTTAATCATAAATTTATAAATAATTTGTGCATTTTATAAATTTAGAATTTAGTAGCAAGTTAAGCAGATTCTGAAACTGACAACTTTAGATGTTGGTGGAATGCACCCTGGCATGCTAATGTTAAAAGCACATTTACTTAAAAGTAACCCTACATTTTCAAATGCCAACACACTCAGGATTGTTTTCAGTGTTTATTTCTAAGTGATAGGCTACATGCCAAAAATATATTCCGCATTGTCCAACCCTTTGCAGAGTTGTTTCATATCCGAAATATGCTATCTTCCAATTGGAATCTACTCTCAATGGCTATGAATGAACTGGAGTACATTCAGGTTGAGAGGACTTGTACTGAACTAACCCCAGACATGACACCTATTTTGTAATACCTCGTGTAATTATTCCAAGAAGGATCAGAAGTTCTGCTTAATCCTATTGCTAGCATGAAATATGTAAAATAACTAAGTGAAGTAATGCCTTCTATTGCACTAGCTTCTCTCTACCTGGAGTCCTAGGCACAGCCACTTGGGACTAAGTAATTTCTCACTAAAAACAATGGGGCATTTTTCAGAGTCAATATGTTTGAGGTCACTCTGTCAGCATAAGTAGGTATGGAAGTTTTGGAAACAATCATGAGTTAGCCTAATGAAAGTATATGCTCAATCTGCATAGTACAAAAGCACTGTCTTGAGTTTATAAGCCTTGGAATAGGTTACAGAGCTCACTGATTGTTTCTAACTCTTTTAAGGGGGCAGGGAGTGGTGTCAAGGTGGCAGTAAAGGGGGTTTGCTTAGCTTATTGGTGGAAAAGAATGCCAGTAGTCCTGGAAACTATCACTCAAACTGGCTTTCTTCAGGAACAGAGCCGTTAAGGTTGCTCTAATCTTAGTTTTCTGTTACACTCTGTTCGACTCCTTTGACCAACATGCACCACCGCTGACATAACTGGAATTGCTACTGGTCATTGTTCACCATCCAAAAACTGTCTGGCACGTTAAACACCTCTTGCTTTAGAGAATGAATGCAAACTTCTCTTTCTAAGTAAGCAGACAAAACACTGAGCTTTATTGGCTTAACAGGCAGCTACATTGAAACTATTAAAATGTTCTTCTGTTAATTTTTTTCTTTTTTACTGAATATATCTAGTATCCAGAGTTTTGCTTTATGAATCTAGAATGCAGCTGTAGTTACATGTCTGGCTGTTCTCACAACAGAAGCATCAGAAACTGGCTTGTAATTTCCCTCCCCTCTTTGCTCTCTTGAAAAAAAAATCAAATACGGTTTTTATTGTCCTTCCAGTCCTAAGCCTACATAGCTCATGACACATTGTTGTTATTAATAATTACCTGCCCTTCACCCTAAGGCCCCAGAACAGGTTACAACATTAAAACACAGTATCAAAAATAGTTTAAAGCAACTTACAATCACCAAAATAAAGGGGTTCCTAAAAATATACACCTCAAGTGTCAAAAGTCAGGGTAAAGAGGTGTGTATTCAACAGTCACTGGAAGCTGTACAGTTAAGGTGCCAGACACACCTCTGCCAAACACATCAAACCAAACACAATCCACTAACTACATATGAAGGACTACGTAAGGTGCCTGGTGACTCCGTGTCTATATTATCATGTATTCAGCAAAAAGAAAGGTTTCATTAAACTTCTGGTGATCACCATACACAGTTGTTAAAGCGGAGTTTGGCTTTGCAGGCTACAAATGTGCATGCTTAAGGTGCTGATTTTGTTTGGGGTCCTATTGCTTGTAAAAGGGTAGTCTCAGGACAGAAAACTTCTACATGCATGATTTAAAAAAATTTTTTTTCCAGATATGCACTTACAATCGGGAGACTGTCCTATCCTGGGTAACAGCTGGGCATTTCCCAAGAATGGTATTTTTTAAGGAACTGTGAAGTAAAGAAGACAATTAATATATATATATCTATCAACATAATCAGAATCGGAACATTAAATCCTGCACTCCCTTTACCAATCACATTTTTCTCTTTCATAAGCCTTCCAAGTAATTTGTTAACTAAGCACAGGAAGGTATGCAGCCCCTGAACTATTACATGTGTCAGATAAATGCCTCATCAACAGCTCATGATATATTGCATTTGTGAATATATAACACAAGGTTCCTTTGACCGGGCTGGATGTAACATGAGGCAGTGATCATTCTGTAGGAAGAAAGATTGCCAGCTTGGACCTACAAACCATGTGTATTACTTTAGTTTCTCTAGTATGGCAGGGCAGCATGCTGTGGGACTGATGGGACTCCTGACACTATCTGTCTGTCTGTCTGTCTGTCTATCAGATCCACCTAATTATTCTGATTGTAAATTGTCTGATTTTAATATTGTTACAATAATGCCCCAAGACCTTATAGTGAAGAAAGGTAAGAAATCCATTAAGTGTGTGTGTGTGTGTGTGTGTGTGTGTGTGTGTGTGTGTACAGGTAAGAGAGAAGGAAAGGTGCACTAATAAAGAAGACACTCAATGCTCAGAGTTGTTAAAATAAACTGGCACCATCTCCAGTTCTGATGGCAAGGCTGAGGATTTTAAAGAGTCACAGAGCAGAGCCAGCGCCCCCATCTCTTTTCAAACATTTAAGCCAAAATTTGGGTGTGCTAGTTTAACCTCCACACTGCCAATAATGACTGGCCCACCCACTACAGTGGTACCTCGGGTTACATACTCTTCAGGTTACATATGCTTCAGGTTACAGACTCCTCTAAATCAGAAATAGTACCTCGGGTTAAGAACTTTGCTTCAGGATGAGAACATAAATTGTGCTCCGGTGGCACGGCAGCACCAGGAGGCCCCATTAGCTAAAGTGGTGCTTCAGGTTAAGAACAGTTTCAGCTTAAGAACGGACCTCCGGAACAAATTAAGTACTTAACCCGAGGTACCACTGTACTTCGGTTGAAGGCAGAAGTTGTGAACTTCCCTTTTCACAAGAACAACAATTGATTGACTTTCCTCCTGTATATTTTCAAGTTGTGTGGTGTTTTGTTTCTCTGTTTTACTGTTTTCCTTCCCCCACTTCCTTATTCCTTCTGTAACTTTCCCTTTCTCCCACCTACAATCAATATGGTTTCCTTCTGTTTATATAACCAAAGAGAATGGAGATACAAAACATCTGGCATTTATTTACCTTGTTAATAATACATGTCCCAGCTATATTTCTGAACACAGGTAACGTCCTGCTTCTAAACCTGCTGAAAATCAAAATAAATAAGGGGATTAAAAAAGAAGGATGCAAAATAATTTATAACTGCTTTCAGAACAGAAGCTCTTATTTCCTCTAACAGCAAACTTGGTGGTCCCATGCCAATTAGTATATCAGTTAAACAAAGCTACCTACAGCTTAGGATTTCTGCACTGGCATTCAACTCCCCAGGTATGCATAAAAATATTACTTTGTAACAAGGGGGAGGAGAGCAAGACAGATTATTTTTATTTCACTTATGAGGCATCCCAAAGTGATAAGCATATATAAAACAGTTACATATATAAAAACAGTTTAATACACACAGAGACACACACACACACAACTTAAAGCAACAACAACACGTAAAGAAAATCAATTCAAATCAGAGACAGATACCATCTGGGATAAATATTTCTGAAAGCTTGCTGGGGAAAGAAGTTCAAAGATTGAAAATATTTAAAAGCTTTCCTGTAAGAATGTTAGAAGATAAAAGTTTTGACAATGAAAATGTGAGAGGAGTAAACTACTAAACCCATGGAGAGACCATTTTTGTTTAATGAAGGCAATAGGGGTGGAAGCAGAAATTGGCCCTAGAGGCCAATTCTACCCCCTAACCCAATCCTTCAACAACATCCGAAACAGCATGAAGAAAGAGATAATCCCATTTCCCCTGCTGCACTGTTCAGACTGGGGCTTAATTACACAGTCACCTCTGAAACTTCACTCCTCTGTAGCACTACAGTGCTCAGTTTCAGAGCGCATGGCGCAGTGGGATAACCACCAGTCTGATAGCTGACAGTCTGATAACCACCTATGCTATGCTACCATCAACCTTCCCTGATCTGTCTCTCTCCACCCCCAACAAGGGGAGAAGGGAAGCTTAGCACACTGTAAATCCTCATGGATTCCCAATGAATCAAATACCCTCAATGCTAATTCTCCAAAAATGAACAGCATTTAAGATTTCAATCCTATCCACACTCACCATTGAATTTAATAGGGCTTACTTCTGCATAAACATTAATGGGATTATGCCGCAAATTTATTTAATATCAAGACCAGTTACAGCAACATTGCATGTTGCCAGAATACTGTTGTTATCACCATAAACTTCACATTGTTTGCATAATAGATCAGCCAAGGTAATATTACATTGGAACTTGATCAAAGTGGTTCTCTTCTTGGTTGCAGTTTAGCTGCAATGGCGTCTGTTTACTTTTTCCTCATGTTGCTAAAGAGCTATCAGCAAGTTCAACAAAGTAAAAAAAATTCCAACAAAAGTTTTTTTAAAAAGAAAATGAAGGAGAACAAATTAAGCAAGGACAGAGCAATCATTCCCCCATGAGAAGATTGCACACTTGCAGCACAATCCTAATTGTGGCTACTCAAAATAAAGTCCTATTGAATCCAGTTGGGTTTTCTCCCAGGTTAGGATAGCAACTTTATTCACATTTATACTAATCCAAGCAAATAAAACACAGACATTGTCCCTCCATTAAGATCAAAGCCTGAAAACAGAATAAATGAACTTTTCCTAAATCCACTGCTAAACAGGCCGGAACTGGGAGAAGTACAGCAACAGTATAAACCTACCTCTTTGAATTTCTAAACAGTAGAAGATCACCCCAAAACTGTGGCTCCTGAGAATTTCGGTATTTCTTTTCCCTTCTTTGCCAGGGACTATGCTTTTAGTAAAATTAAAAAGGGGGGGGAGATCAAATGTTAAGAGAGCTCCTAAGAATACGGCTTGACATTCTAGAAAATTTTGGAAAGTTTTGGAATCGGGTTGCCAGCTTTCAAAACGGTTCCTTTTACAGTCGTTTGATCTACGGCAGCAATTAACAGGTGGCAAAGTTAGAAAATCAGATCCTGAAATGTATCACAGGTAAGAATTGCAAATAAACAGCGTTTCGTTTTACCTGCTGACTTCTTACACACCAGCGAAACCTCTGAGAGAGACAAGACCGAGCCGCGCCGATAGATTTCATTTTGCTTTGGTTCCCTCCCCCCGCCCCCCTCTCCTGGCCACTGGGCAGCTCTCCGCTACACGGAGAACAAGTTGGACAATTCAGCCCGTAACATACTAAAGACAAGCTGACGACTTGGGGGAGGACTAGCTCGGCTCCTCCCCCAGGACGCTCAACGATTGGCTGCAGAGAGGGGCGTGAGGCGACGATGGCGGAGCCAAGTGGCGCGTGTTAGGCGCGGACCGTCCCCGCCCAGCCATGCTGGTCTGCTGGAAAGAGGGGCGCGCGGGCGCAATAAGTGCGCCCTGAATGCCTTTAGAATGTGAACGTGTGAAGTTAAGGAACAGGTCCCATTGGCTTAAGCGTCCACCGAATCGCAGCCTTTAAAACATGTGCAGTTTCCCCTTCCACGGCTGGTGCACGCTTACTCGGGAGTAGACCCCGCTAGCTTTTGTGAGGTTTGTGCGCTGGCACCGGTTGTAAGCCTCTGCCTTAACGGGGCTTCCTTTTGAGCAGGACAACCCGCGTTGTTACCAGCCCTGCACAGTCCTGGCCATTTCTACTTCTCCTCGGAAGGGAGCCCCCTTGAAGGCTGTGGCTGTGGCCGTGTGCTTATTATACCTAAGACTCCGGGCTTGTCTCCTACCACCCCACGCCCGTCTGCTCCGAAGTAAGCCCCAGCGACCTTCCCCAAAGGGAGCTTCCTTGCAGCAGGCAAAGGCGGCCGCTGCTTCCGACGCTGGAGGCTCGGCCCCTCCTCCTCCCGCAGCCAGCCCAGCTCGTCTTCTTCCTCCACTCCCGCAGGACACCAAGCACGCCCTTACCCGCTTGGCTTGGCAGAGGCAGGGATCGGGGCCGCCGCCGTTCATGCCAGTTGCCCCATTAGTCCCTGGTCGCCCCACGCCTTCCCCGCCCGCCCCCCCCAGTCCGTCGCCGCGCCTTGTTCGCCTGCTTGAGGCGAGGTGATCCGCCGCCCGGCGTCTGCAGCGCGGCGAGGTCCTCCTCTCTGCCTTCACGCTGCTGCCTCCGCGTCCTCGCCTCACCTCGGCCTCGAGCGACTCTGCCCCAAGTGCTTGGCGTCCGCCCAGCTTCCCTCCCACGGCTGTGAAGGATACGGATCACCAGCGACCTGTTGCCTGCTTCGCGCCAGGCCTGGGGTCACGGTGTGCGTTATAGCGGATGTTCTGTTCCGCCTTGCCATAGAAAGGCCTGTTTTTCTCCCTTGAGAGGCTTAATGGTAACGTTAGGACTCGGGAGCAAAGAGGAGGGCAAGGAAAGTTGTGCTTAGGACGGTGGCCGCCTTAATTCCCATTAGGGGGACCCTAATGATACTTTATTGACATGTCTCAGCTATCCAAACCAGACCCCATTAGGCTACTAAACCTCTGGTGGCTCTGGTCTGCCCTCCCCTTGTCAGAGGTGCTGGAAAATGCTGAAGTCAGAGCCGTTGAGCCCAGGACCTGCTTGCTGGTGGGCTTCCCAGGGAAGCGTCTAGGTAGCCATTGTGATAACAGGATGCTGAACTAGATGTGTGACTGGCCAGAGCCAATAGGCTCCTCTTCTGTTGTGTACAATAAAAAGAAAATGCAATAAAAGCTAAACACTAAATGGTTAAACAAAAACCCCAAAAGACAGTGGCTAAAAATCAAACATCAAATCTGAAGAAGTGTGCATGCACATGAAAGCCTATACCAAGAACAAACTTAGTGGGTCTCTAAAGTGCTACTGGACATTTAAAATTTATATATATATATATATATATATATATATATGAAGATAAATGCATCACCATTAAAAAGCCATAGCACACAGGAAAGTCTTAACCTTAAAGATTGCAGTGTCAAGGCCTCTTTCTGGGTGTTATCTCAAAGGTCACAAAGGAGAGAGTAAACTTTCAAACCCACCAGAGCTTTTTTTTCAGGCCGGATAAGTGATGAGTATTCTGTGGCAGCTTAAAAACTAACCAAGGCAGCGTGATGTGGTTAGAGAAGATTGGGAGAGAGGGGTTCAAATCCCCACCCAGCCATTGGGCACGTTTCTTTATCTTTGCTTCTGGCCTACCTCACAGGGTTGCTGTACGGAGAAAATGAAGGGAAGAACCACTTATGCACCCCTCAGCTCCTTGAAGGAAGGGTGGGCTTTAAGTGTAATAAATACATAACAAATTTTGTATGGCATTTTTACTTTCTGACACATGATGAAGTATTATCATCAGAAAGAATGGGTGCTGGTGGTGTGAAGATAAACAGGTCAAATAGACATGAAATTCAAAAGTTCAGTAAAGGCAGGGAGGAAGAAGGGAGAGGAAAAGGATGTTGGTAGTTATGATGGAAAAACCCCAGTCTGAACTTTATTACAGAGGCAGTTGCAAATATTGCAAATTGCAACATGGTTTTTTCCATGACATCCAACATTTATAAATGTCTGTGGTGCCTTTTTGCATAAAATTTAGCATAAAGAAAAGTTTTGGCCTCATGACTTTTTACCCTTTAAAGTAACTTAAAGATGTCATCAGTAAGCATTGTAGGGTGGGTAAACCTTATATTGATAGTATACTAATCTTTGGTTTACCCTTCTTGCTTATTTGTTTCTCTTTTAACTATAAGTGTGTGCATTTTAATTTTAGTTTTTTAAAAAGAGACATCATTCCGGCATGAAGCTCCTACCCACATATTCTACATCCTCTGTGGGTGTATTCAGTGATGAGTGGTAGTCATACAGTAGCTGCTTAAAAGCTGACAATGTGCTGCAACCATGTGGAAAGGTGTTTTCACTCCTACCCCACACAACCTGAGTTGCTAAATAATCATCAGGTTTAGATAGTAAAAGGGCTGGGGTTGCAAGTGGTAGTTACTGCACGTAGCCAAGACTGAAGTTCTTGTGATGAAGTTCACAGTATTGGTAATCAGAAGCAAACTTAAGAAACTACAGAGTTAAACAGTAACTAACTGTCTACATATATAAAATATTGGTGGTGGCAGTTACCAGTAAGTGTTCAGCTCATTCCTCAAGGACAGGAACACTTCCTGGCCAAGTCTATTTACTATCTGTAAAGATAAAAGGCAAAAATCATAAAATATATTATCTATTTGAGAATAGTTTACTTTTTATAATAAAATTATAAAAGCATATAAATCCAGCTGGTAGAATAGCATTGTTCCTGTACTGTGGTCCTGTTTGCTTCTGGCCTGTGCATTTTATGTATTTCTTTAACCTTCTATTTTAACCTTTTCTTTAACCTGGAAATTGCAATGGACACTCACGAGCCACATCAAAACTAACTGGGGTCATTCCAACTAAGTTCTACTGAGAGTAGACCCATAGAAATGAACTGACCTAAGTTAGTCGTGTATTAATTTCAATGGGTCTACTCAGAGTTGCATACAACCAATAATGTATGAGTAACAGACCACCAGATAATAAAATACTGTTGTTGTAATAGCTGCATGTTAGGGTCACACAACTTACGAAGTAGACTCTCATCCACAAAAGCTTATGCCAAACAAAACACTTTGTTGTTATTGCATATTAGGATGTTTAGGTAAGAGGACATTTTCAATGCACTCAGTTTTCTTCCATTTGTCATTTAACAAACCATTTTTGATGTAAGATACAATTACAATAAAAATTTAATCAGTCAAAAAGTGCAAAGTGTTTTTTCTTTCTTTTCGTGGGCAAAGAAATTCATTAGTGCTGATGGCAGTCCAGTTTGTGTTTATTTCCAGAAATACTACTGTGTTGATCTAGCATGAGATCAAGCCACACACAATTATAACACTTTTGATAACAAAGCCTAACAACCCCAGTTTCCAAAAGTGATTCGCTCTGTGACAGGCTGGACAGACACCTGCCTGAAACCCTGGATTCCCACTTCTATTACTGAGCAAGATGGATCAAATGTTCCAATTGAGTAAGGCAGCTTCCTATATTCATTCCTTTAAAAAGTACAACATGAGGTTGTCACATAAAGCCACAGCACAGATAGGAACAACTACCTTAAACAACCTTCATTTCTTTTAAAGGTACATAAGGGAGAAACATACCCAAATATCACTGTAAAATCTCCAGCTCCAATGAAAAGTTCTTCCACACAGTGCCTGCCCATTGACCTGTATCATTCCAGTAGCTGTCTGCCCCAAGCAGACAGACAATAGATATGAACAAAGTGTACTGTGTGAAAGTCACCTGGAGGACAGACCAAATCTAATAAATGCTGGAAAGTCTTTTTTACCCACAGACTGATCTCAGATAATGCTGGATGTCTGGTGACTAGGATGAATATGTTGTCCTCTTATCAGCAAACACTTGACGATGTGTGTTTATATTTGTTTAAAAACTTTTCCACAAAAGTGACTCAAGGCCACTTACATTAAAAACCAGTTAAACATAATTCATAAAGGCCTAAAAAACACATTTGTTACAGATAGAAGTCAGATCCCATCCAGCCTTTCTCAACCTGTGGGTCCCCAGATGTTGTTGAACTACAACTCCCATCACCCTAGCTAGCAAGGCCAGAGCTCAGGGGTGATGGGAGTTGTATCCAACAACATCTGGGGACCCACAGTTTGAAAGAGATAGAAGACAGATCCTATCCCTGAAAAAAGTTAAGGAATGAAAGCCTTGGCAAAGAGAAAGGTCTTTGGTCCCCAGTCAAGCTGGCAAAAATTTATCATCTGCCCGATAACAAAATGTTGGAAGTGTAAAGAGACTGAAGTACCTTCTACCACCTTTGGTGGAACATGCCCGAGATTAAGGCCTTCTGGGAAATGATCTATAATGAAATCAAAAAGGTACTCAATGTACCTTCTCGAAAAAAACCAGAGGCCTTTCTCTTGGGCATTGTCGGGCCAATTGGTGACAAAGAGGGATAGAACTTTCTTTATGTATGCTACAACAGCAGCAAGAATACTCATCGCAAAGTATTGGAAGACCCAAGAATCTACCCACTTTGGAAGAATGGCAGATGAAAGTGATGGACTATATGACATTGGCCGAGATGACAGGCAGAATCCGTGACCAACGAAAAGAGACGGTGGAAGAAGAATGGAGAAAATTTAAAAGTTATTTAAGGACTACTATAAACTTAATGAATGCTAAAATGTTGCGGTTTTCAGAAATAAAGGGATACAGGGATATAAGGTTAGAAAGTTTAAAAAAACTAAGAAGATAGAGAGTGGAAAATAACAATTGGAGTTGCTAGTGGAACTTTGGACACTGGGATGCAGAGAGGGGGGTATGGGGAAGTCAAAAGAAAGAAGTTTTAATGAAAATATGTTTGAAACTATACGTGTATGTTTGTCATTTTTTGGTGTTTGTTTGTTTTTTGTCTAAAAAGTTTCTAAAACCAATAAAAATTTTTATAAAAAAAAAAAAGAGAAAGGTCTTGGTGCCTTTAACAAAAGATTGGTGCCACAAGTGGGGGACCACCGCTGAAAACTTTAAGTAACAACAGTTATGATAGCTCATGTAGACACAGCTAATCGTAACCCAGCTCATCCCTTCAGTGGCGTAGCGTGGGGGGTGCAGGGGGGCCAGCCGCACCGGGCGCAACATCTGGGGGTTAGGGTTAGGGGGTGCAAATCCACGGGTTAGGGGGCGCAAATTACTTGCCTTGCCCCGGGTGCTGACAACCCACGCTACGCCACTGCATCCCTTTAAAGTTCTCATCCAGGCACTGAAGTGGCCAACTGGTCTTTGTCTTTAAAGAAACTTGCCTGACCAGTTCTTCAACCTCCACCAAACTCTGAACAATATGTTGGGGGTGCAAAACGGAGAATGGGACATATGTGGTGGCCATGTA